ATTTTACACACAACTCTCTAACCTGTTCCTTGCTGCGTCTGAGGAAAGCTACAGCAGTTATTGATTCCTTGTTCTACGGATACTAACACGGGTTTCAGTGTTTGTTTGGTTTTTTTTATTGTTGTTTTATGTGATGTGAATACCCTCCCGTCAATATTTGTACGATGGTGCTAATATATTTGGTAACAATCCTTTATTGGGAAGGGATTTTAAAAAACTGTGATTTCAGCTGAATTTTTTCTTCCTTTTGATTTTTTTCATATTTAAAACGAAAAGCCACAGCCATTTATACAAAAAAAGGCATCAGCTTTGGCCCCTGGGAAAATGTTGGGGCGGGAATCAAGATTAAACAAATGGGGTTTTTACATCATTTCTGTATGTATTTGATATATAGATCAATATCTGTACAAATTTAATCTTTTTATTTTCTTGGTAATTTGTGTGGTCAATGAGAGAGTATTTAAAGCTTTCTCATGCAATGTACATAACTCAGTGAAGAAAATGCTTTTGGAGAAATTAATGTTACTTTCATTTTTACGAGACTGCAGATTTTCAGCATGGATGTGAAAAGCATTAAAATTATAACTTTGTGTACAAGATGAAAATAATTCACTAAATTTGCCTTTTTTACACAAAATAAAAATGATAAAAAAGTCCTTTTCTGAATAGTGATTGTTTTGTTTAAAAGGCACTATTTGGCATATACATAAATGCACTCCAGCTTCTCTCAACAGAATGCAGATTAAAAAAATATGATTTGTAAAAGATATTTTAAGTAACTGGGTATGTTGGTCTGACCACAATTGAACCATTTAAGATGCTGAGCACAAGCTAAGGGTTTTAATATGAGATGGTGGCATTACATAAGCATTTAATAGAGAGCAAGCTTTGCACTTGGTCTCATTTCATTTGGTATTAACAGTTGTGTAAGGAAGGAAATTGTGTAGTATCCCATTTTTTTTCCCCTAGCTCAGTTCAGCTGTGTTGGAAGCAGCTCCAGCCTCCTGTCAGCTCTCTGCAAACTGGCTTTGCCACTGCCATGATTTCAGGAGCTTTCAAAGCAACTGTGCAAGGGACACAACTCCCTGGATTTTTATTCTGATGTGCCAGTGATTTCTTGTTAACTGTTCCTTCTACAGGAGGGAAATACTGCATGTCTAAAATGCCTTGCATGGCTGTTTGAACACGGGGTCTGTTGGAAGTGAAAGCACCACAAGGAGTTAGTTCACACCCATTTATTTGACAGTCACTTTGAGCACTAAGATAACCGTGGTTGCTCCCAGGTCAGCAGCTGGAATGAGATGGTGCATTAGAAGGCACAAATCCTTGTGGAAACTCGTCACTCATAGATCCAGTCGTGTGCACAAGGCTTGAAGTCGATGAGCTCTGCGGGTTTGAACCACAGGTTGATCTCCTTCTGCGCGCTCTCCACGGAGTCGCTGCCGTGGATGATGTTCCTGTGGAAGGAGACAAACATTGTTCCCTATAAAAAATACACTTTCAGCAACCTCATCATTCTCCACATGCAGAAACTTGGATGAAGCATCTAGAGCTGCGAGACTATTACTTTTATTTCCAGGCCAGTGTTACACCAGCTTCACTCTGAGAGCTAATTAGGCCTAGCAGGGTCATGAGGGCTACTGTTCTACACCAGCCCCTGCCTGAGCTTACGTGCTGCTCTGAGGAGGAGCTGGATTTCAAACAGAGTCACTTTTGTACCATTTTCTTAAGTAGCAGTTACGGATTGTGACCTGCAAATGAAATACCATCAGATGAGGGTATCTACCACTAATTCTGGCTTTCCAGATATAAAAGACTACCATCAGATTTTATGTTGGCTGTTAAACATGGAGTAGTAGTTGGTTTTGATCTCAATTAATGAACTGAGTACAAACCTTCCCACTTGAATGCAGAAGTCACCACGGATGGTACCAGGCTTCGAGTCTGCAGGGTTGGTTTCCCCCAGCATTACTCTCCCAGTTTTAACCACATTGAGTCCTTCCCATACCTTAAGGCAAAAAGACAAAACCACTTCTGTTAATTCATGCTCATACAAAATACCAAAGATTAATCTTTGCTAATAACATACTTTCCAAAGAAACAGGGGCTCTACCACTAAAAAAAATTAACCTTGCCTAGATCCTCTCTTAGGCCTGTAGGGGTGACTAGGGAAAAAACACATGGACTGGGAAGTGTCTGTAAAAAGGACCATCAACATTGTTACTCCAGTGAAGGAGATACTTTACCAAGCCTCAGACTTAAATAATGCATAAGGCCAACTCCAAAATCTTTCTGTTTGGGTAGGATAAGGACACCCTGATGAGCTGCAGGCACTCCTAGTTAGGTACAGAGTCAGGAGATGCTACTGGACCAAGTACATTGTTTTGAGGGGAGTGCAGGAAAGAATGACACAGAAGATGGGTTTCTGTGTCAGAGAGCCTCACCCTTTTTTGCCTAAAACAGAAGATTTTTTTGGTGCAGAAGATTTGCTCTCAGGAATTTTGCTTAATATGTGTTAAGCATTTTAATACATGTTTTATACATGCCCTTTCCTTCTTAGTAATATATAGTAATTTCCTGACTGTCTTAATTTTAATTTTTTTTGTTTTCTTTTGCCGCTATCTGAACTGGGTAGTTTGAAAAACTGTTTCTGTAACAGTATCTCTGACTATTTTAAATAATTTACAAACCAAGACAAATTTATTCAAGCAAGTCATCTTTAACTAAAATCAAGCCACTTACCATGGCCACAATAGGTCCAGAGTTCATGTATTTAACCAAACCAGGGAAGAAGGGTCGGTCTTTCAGGTCAATGTAATGCTGTTTGAGAAGGTCTTCTGAGGCCTTTAAAAGGGCAGACGTAACATCAAATATCAGCTTCTGACTGTCATATCACAAGAGGTGTTGCTGCTGCAAGGCTATGGCACTAGTGACTGGACTCACCAGTCATTAATGTTATCAACAGGCCTGCAGTGTTTTTGTGGGTATCAATGCAAGCTCCTAATGTAAAATTAAAGGAGCACACGGCCCATTTGTCCTCTGTGGCAGTGTCAGTGTTGTGAGCTGTCAATGTTATTTCTTTGCATTGCAGTGACCCTCAGCGATAAGCAGAGCATGGGCTGCCTGGGTGCTGTTACCCAACACAACCTTTCAGTCAAGGTCGGTTCAGCTCCCAGTCGGGCCGCACCGAACCATTTGGGCAAAACGTGCTTCCTTTGGACAGGGGGAAGATCCGGTGCTGGGCAGGAAAAGGAGCCTGATGCACGTCCGCTATCAGATTCCCATTCTGACGCAGAAAAAGCCGCAAAGGAAGGTTATCTGTTGTGTGCCCAAGCCAATCTGTGTGTGCCCAAGATGACCTGTGTGTGCCCAAGCCCCTCTCTGGCAGGCAAGGGAAGGCGTTTGGGGGCAATGCGGGGACTCACGTGCACGAACTTCATGGCCACGAGCCGGAACCCTTTCTGCTCGAAGCGCTTGATGATCTCCCCGACCAGCCCCCGCTGGACGCCGTCGGGCTTGATGGCGATGAAGGTGCGCTCGGCGTTCCCAGCCATGGCCCTGCGGGCGGAGCGGGGCGACCATCGGCCTCAAGGTCGCCCGCCATGGCCCGCGCCCACGTGGCACCGCGATGGAGGAGCCCCCCGGACCGCTGTGCCCCGGCCCCCGGCACTGACCCACCCCACCGCCCCCTCCGCCGCGCCGCACCCGGGCGGACCCTCCGCCCGCCCGCGGGCTTCCCGAGCGCGGGGCCCGGCCCGGCCCGGCCTCACCTCTCCGCAGCTCGCAGCGCTGGCGCCCAAGGAGGAGAAAGAGAGGAGGAGGAGAGAAGGAGGGGAGGGATTCCCCCCGCCAGAAAAGGAGGCCGCCGAGAGCGGGCGGCGCGGGGGCGGGCCGGCGGGGGCCGCCGGTGCGCGGGAGAGAGACGGGAGCGCGCCCGCCCGCCGCCAGCGGGCGGACGACGGAACGGGACGGACAGTGGCTTCCGATGCCGCTGGTGCTGTGCCAACGCTGCGCTCCCTCGCCGCCCGCCGAGCCGGGGGGGCTCTTGGCCGGGCTGTCCCTTGGCCGGGCTGTCCCTTGGCCGGGCTGTCCCCACCGCACCTGTCGCCTTCGCCTCCTCGAAAGCCGCCCGAGGGTTCTTAGTTTACAGCTGCAGCAGCGGGGGCTTTAAGGCTCTGACACACTGAAGGGATTGCGGATGTTTAACTAAATCATTTTTTTACTTATTGGTGCTGGCGCTGACGTTTTCAGGTGTTCCCGCGGTCTGGCGGCGGACGGTGCAGCCAGCCCAGCACGCCTTGAAAGCATATTTCTCACAGGAAAGTGGTGTGGGATCTGTAACCCAGGGAAGTTATCGGTGATTCTGCTGGGATCCAGGAAGATGAAGCTGAAAAACACAGGTGTAAAACGACAGGGTCCCAGTACTGTCCTAGCAAGAAGCAGGAAGGGTTGTTACTTTTTGTTATTAAACATTATGATAATTTGCCCTTTACTAGTTTACGAAACACCTTTTCTCTTCCTGAGCGAGATATAATCATACACAATCACTGCAGAGGGGATATTAATGAAAAGCCCTTTGCAGTCCTTGTGCAGTCTCTTATTGATGGGACACTGACACTGGACCTGCTCGGGCACCTCAGCCATGCAGGAATGTTGCATTTCCCTGAGAGATGCTGTCCTCCGCCTCCTCCCAGTCTCATCACATTAAAAGTACTAATCAGCAGCTTTCTGACAACCCCCACATCCCCAGATAACCCACGTTTCTCCATTTTGTAGTAATCAAATCAAGAAAAAGAAATCTCAAGTAACCTTTCAAGCAAAAATGGAACTGGGGATTACTCATCTCGTGCCCAGGTTTGTCACGTGCTCCCTTTCCTCCAACATTTAACTTCAGTATTTATCTTCTGTAACAGTGAATAATTTCAGAAGAGGAACTCACAGCCTCACCTACATGCTTAGGGAATTTGTTCCATCTCCACATACTCATTGATATAAGACAATATAATTAAAATATCCTTTTATTTCACTTAAGAAACAGCAAATGTTTCATTTTGTACCATCTCTTTTTTAGGAGTTCAATATCTCTATAAAGTATCATAAGCATTCAGTTCAACATACATTGCACAGTTCATTATTTGAGTCTCACTACAGGGAAAAAAATCATGGGGTTCAAACAACTAACTCCATGAAACACTTGCTCTTAGTGAATATAATGTTGCAGGTAAATAAATACATAATATCAATCCCAACGTGTTCCTCATCCAGTACAACTTTTGCTGCTAGAAGTTCTGCAAGAGGCTGATGTTTCTCTCTGATAGAAGCAGAAGGCTCTACTGAAATACCTTCAGCATTATTATGACTGTACTTCTTTACATCATTAAATTAATACAAAACACTTCTAAAACACTTCATCCAAGGACAGTTTGCTTTGTAGTTCCAACTACTACGGAAAGGACACAAATGAGAACAAACCTGAATTATCAAACCCTAAATTATCAGCTGTTCAGCCAGCAAAGCAAACATCACTTATTGCTCTGTGCAATGCCAGAGGGCTGCTGCTGTGAAGTGGCTGAAGGTAGATCTCCCTCGTCCATCCTCATATTAATCTTCTTTTCACATAAAAGGGCATTTCATAAAGCCTGGTCAGTTAATCTTTCCTTAAAATGCTAAATAAATCCCATGTGGGGGGGAAAAAGCAAGTTAAAACAGTGTTAGTGTGGAGGACAGTTGTCATGTTAATCAGAGCTGAGCTCTGTGTACAGGCACAGAGCATTTTGGGGGGGGAATGGACTTTTTTTCTGCAGCTGTTTTGGGCATGGGGCACACTTGATATCAAATTCAGTCCTCAGCATTTGGACATCTTAGCAATATACTCACAAACCACCAGTTGTCCTTTAATGTTGGAACAAAGTTAACTTCTAACACCAAGCCATTTGCACATGGAATTATTGGATATTTTTTGACCAAAATTTTTTTTTCTATTTACCAAAATACTCTCTATGGCTATAAAGTGTTCCAGGAAAATATATATTTTTCATATGCTCTGTGTCTTGATCTTGTATCTCTCAACCCCAGAAGCAGCCTTTTAAAAGTACAATTCCATCTATGCCTGGACAGCTTTTAAATCAAAGCAGCAGCAAACACTGGTTCTATTTAACGTTCACAACAGAGCAATCTCACAGATTCCTGAGGTTTCTACCAGGGCTTTGGAATAGCTAGAGGCTGGCAGCTGCTCACAGATAGTAGGGATATCAGAAGATGCAGGCTCAGTGTTAGTCATAGATCCACTCATGAGCACAGCTTCGGTAATCAACCAGTTCTTCGGGAGTGAACCATAAATTGATCTCTGTCTCAGCACTTTCCACAGAATCACTTCCATGAATGATGTTCCTAGGAAAACAAAAGGTGGATAGAAGAGTAAGACAATCCTCAAACTCGAAACAAAGCAAGGTTCTTGTTTTGAAGTGGTTTCCATTATGGAGAGGAGTTTTAAGCCTCTGTAAAGCAGGAGCAGGCACAGCACAGGCAGTCCCAGCTTTGCTCCTCATTTTTGTCAAAATGGGGACAACCACAACTCAGTTTCCATCCTTAGAGCACAACATTACTTGAGCCCAGGGAATGGCAGTTCCATGAGTAAGATAGAGAAGGATGGAGCACAGTTCCTCCATATATCATGATATAACACTTGACATTTAGTGTCTTTGAATGATAGCAAGAGTTTTAAAACATACCTTCCCACTTGAACACAGAAGTCACCACGGATAGTGCCAGGCTTGGAATCAAATGGATTAGTTTCTCCCAGCATCACCCTTCCAGTCTTAATCACGTTAAGACCTTCCCACACCTTAGAAGGAAAAAAAAAAAATCCATTGAGATTATTAAATCTTAGCAACAGATACTTTCCACAAGGACACAGGGCTGCCCATCATGGCACAAGTCACCATCTGAATATTTGTTTTAGTGAGACTTATTTTATCCCTAATTTTTCTGTCAGATTCATGAACATCTGCTGATGTTCTCCTCTTCTGCACAATCCCCCTCCTTACTCAGAATGGGGAGAGAACCATTTTAAATCTCAATACTGTAAACATCTTTACTCATGGAAGAGCTAGACCTCACCTATTTTTCAAATACACTATCAAGAAGAAAAAGAGGAAGTCCCTTCTAATGAAATTAGATAAAAAAAAAATTTCAAAGTTACTCTAACTTAGGAATATAATAAAAACATTCCACCATCCTTTTTCAGCTTGCTTAATACACGGCATTTTGTATTGAGGGGGCTTTTGTGCAGGTTTACTGTTTTTCAAGGTTCCCCTTTTATCCCTCTTCCTCAATATATTTACTGGAATGAGAGAAAGATTATGAGAAAAGATTAAAAAAAAAAAAGTGTTAACAGCACATCTTCTTAATTATAGTATTTGAATCTGGGTTTTTAGATCCTTTTAAAAGTAAACTAGAATTCAATAGGTAACACAGTCTCATTGCAGGTAAGACAAGCAGTGTTTTTCTGAGCTGAGCTTCACTGTCAGGAACTCACCATGGCCACAACAGGTCCCGAGTGCATGTACTGCACCAGCCCATCGTAGAAGGGCCGGTCCTTGAGGTCAATGTAGTGTTCTCTCAGAAGGTCTTCAGAGGCCTGTGTTCAAAACCAGCCAGACAAACAAAAAAAGCTCACTGTAAGAACTTAAGAGCATAGTGAAATCACAGAGATTAAGCTCAGAGCACTGGTAATCCGGAAACTTGCACGCACTTCAAAATTCAGAATTTCTAGCATCTTCCTAGGAGCACTTCTGGTCCATATGAATTTGAACTGTTTGCTTTAACCACAACTGAGCTTAGAAAAGTGTCTGTAACCAGTACAGATGGTTTATGTGACCTGGGATTTGTGGAAGATATTCAGAGATATTTATTAGGCATGGGATGCACCTGAAATATTCTCTTCAGACTAAGGACATCAGGTTACTAAAATTAGCATGCTTAGCATGCCTAAAGCATTTAGCCAGAGCTGGGAACTGGAACTCTTCCAAAAACACCCAAAATAAGACTTCTCAAAATTTCAGGTTTAAATATTCTGCAGACTACATTTGCTGGTCCAGCATGCTGCTCTGTTTGAAGGCTACAGGTGGTATGAAAGAAAGGGGAGACATACCAGTTAAGGAGAGCTTACATGTATTAGTTTCATGGCCACCAGTTTGAATCCTTTCTGCTCGAAGCGCTTGATGATCTCCCCGACCAGCCCCCTCTGGACGCCGTCGGGCTTGATGGCGATGAAGGTGCGCTCCTCGATGGAAGCCATCGTCCTGAGGAGGGAGAGAGGGAAGGAAGGTCGTTATCCCAGGATGGGCAATCCCAGCCCTGTATCTCCTGTACCATCGGCTGCATCCGAGGGTCGGTAATCCGCGGTCCGCGCCGGTCGCTGCACACGGGTTTTCACAAGCGCTGCGGGAGCGAGTTTAAAGCAGTTTTCCGAGTACAGAAACAATTAGCGAACACTAAAATCAGCAAAGCTCTGAACGGAATGGAAGGCAAAGCCCGTCACGGATCCACCTCCCAGCGCCGTGCAATAAATAAATAAATCCACACGCGCAGAGTTTTCGCCTGGAGACCCCAGCGCGGCCGGAGGGCTCCGCGCCCCGCACACCTGCGCAGGTGAGGAGCGCGGGGGCTGCGCGGGGGCTGCGGGGAAGCTCTGCGGGGATGGGGGGCCGGGGGCTCTGCCCGGGGGCTGGGGACACCCTCCCGCTGCCCCCCTCCCCGTCTCACCCGCTGGCGGTCGCGGCGGCTTCCGGCAGCCCGTGTCAACCCGCTGGTGGCTTTGCACGCTTTGTGTGGCGCGGGGACCGGCCCGGCTTAGCGCTGAGCCCCCCGCCCCGCGGTTGCCATGGGGACAGCGCGGCCTCCCGCCTGCATAGGACGCTGCTCCCCCTCCATCGCCCCCCACCCCCGTCGGGCCCCCCCCGCACCCACCGAGGGCTTTTGGGGTCTCCTGTTCCCTGCCCGCCCCGGCCGGGTCACACCGACACCCGCCGGGTGTCTCTTTTCCTTAAGCCGGGGAGGTCAGGCTGAGCCCTTCCAGCTTTCCATCCCATTCTTTGGATCCCGTTTTTTATATAACGAAAGGCATATAATATTACCTTAATAAAAATCTCATTATCATACTGTTCTGCTCTAAGTTTCTGCTTTAAAGAAGGCCATTAATTGTCGTTGTTGTTGTTTTGCTGGTTATAATACATCACTATATTGAATATTATTGTATTTGGTACTATATTAGCTCTCTGAGTCAAAAGACACTTGATCAGTTTGACACTGAACTGCTTTCCCTTGAGCGTTTTACTGCCTTTGAGAGAACTGAGGATAAAGCATCTGGACGGAAATCCATGCTTGTCCTGCTTTTATTTCCAAACTGGGATGAACTTCCTGGGCTCCACTCCCTGGCTCTTCTTGAAAGTAAAATTTCACTTCCCTCTGGGCAGGACTTCGCTGCTGTTTAACAGGGAGAAGTTGAGCTTTTTGATAGCATGGATTTCCTTATTCAGGATCCCTTTTCTTTGCCACATTCCATCACAAATCCATGTGTTACTTTTAGTTCTGGTGGGAGAATACAGCTCTGAACCCTAAGCATCTGGTCAAGAAACCCGTTTACTAGTATACAGGGGTCTTTTTTCCAGATATGATCATACTATGATGGACCCATTTTTCCATAAATGTTGTTAAAAAAAAAATACAGCATTGTACATTTTAGCAAGTTCCCCTGGAGTTATTTTGGACTTAGAACTTCTGAGTATTCTCTTGACAATGTCAATCCACTATATTCCGTTGCTTCAATACACATTTATTTGAGATGTTTTATACTACTAAAACAAACTCTAATGCTGTAATCCTCATCATGGCAAAATAATACTTAAACATAGAAAAAAGGTCTCTAGAAACAGGATGTTTAGAAAAATATCAACTTAAAAGCAGCAATAGGACATCTATTTACAGCCTTGTTAAATCTACGTCATTTAATGATTAAAGCTTAGGACTTGCCCTAAGGTGGGCAAGCACTATTTCCAGCTTTACCATAGGTCTGCTCTGTGATCTTCGCCAAGTCTTTTAACCTCATTAAATAAGGGTCATCTTTGTCACTTTTGAGATTAATCCATGATTAACAGAGCAAGTTGTGCATCACGTGGTACATGAAACACCACAGAACTGAGGCTTCCCTGTTATTTTTACTGTGTAAATGAGCAGCTTTATCGCTGGTTCAAAGTTCTACCATGATCACAAAATTGCATTAAAATTTACATGTTTATCTAAAATGTGAAGAAGTAGAGAGTCCAGACAAATAATTTCCTAAAAACAGGCTGATCATGGGAGAGAAGTAAACACCTTCAAAGTCCTCAGTGAGTAAACTAAGTGCAGTTGCTGAGCTCAAACCATTTACACATTACTTAAAACCAGCAGAGATTTTTTTAAAACAGGCCTGGAGCAAAAGATTGACTGTAAATGTCTCCAGACTTCAGTAGAATTTAAACATAATTCCTAGCTTGGGTGGTTTGGTCCCATCTGTACAATGATCTCAGCTCACAGCCTCTGTACCACTCAGAACATTTGGGGGGTTCTCATTCTGTGCTGTGCTACTCTTGGTCCTTACAATCAGACTCCTCAGTCTGACATGTTTTGTTGCTCTAGGCTTTAGTACTCTTCATTTAGCTGAATGCTGCTATCATTCATCAGTCTTTACCTTGATTTCTGTTGCACTTTAAGATGTAAAGCACCACAGAATGAAGCTTTTATCAAAATTTCTTCCTCTGTGTGAAATCCCAGTTAAGCTTTTCTCACCCCAGACTTATTCAAGGGCTTATTTTCTTCCCTGATAAATTACAAATCGATTTACTTTCAAATTAACTGTTATTTCTGGGGATAGGTAATGCGATTTTTCCTATTATCCAGAAAACTAATTTCTTTGTCAGTCAGTTCTGTCCCCAAGAATGTGATGGCATTTTACTCTGCTAGTTACCACATACAGCCACCATTTTCAAGCTACAAAACCAGTTCTAGCAGGTTTCTTTGTGCTGTTTCATATGCTTGATTCATTTGCTAAATTGACAGGTCATCAAGGTCCCTTAATCTCCTGGAAAGAATCTAGAATATCGTTCCATACCTCCTTCAATTTTTAATTCATCCCGGAGTTTCTGATCTCACACTGACTGCGAGGTGCATGTCATGAAACGTGATCACTGTGGTAAGACTGTCAATAAGATACATTTTTACACCCCTTAAACTCCTAGGTAATTTTTCTGCTCTTCATCTTTTTAAATACTTCACTATCCCACGCTAGAGAACTCCCACATGACTAGAAAAAAACACAAATGGCCCCTTTACCTGTGCTCGTCAGTCTGACTGCAACTGTAGTGGCAGCAGCAGCCTGTTCAGTGATGCACCTGCTCTGTCTGGGAAAGAAAACCACATCTATACATTTTGCTGATAGAGACAGGATAAAAATAGCATGTCCTCAGAGACCCCCTTTGCTAAGAGCTGTCAGCAGACACCTTGACCCACTTCTGCCGTCTGTCAGAACATACGTCTTTGAGATAATGTATTTGTGCCTTTTGCCAAGCAGGATGTCAGTGACTGTAAACCCTGCACAGACAAAAGGATCTCTGCAAGATTCAAGGGGATTGGTGCTTTTATCCTCACAATAATCTGCAGTTGTTTAGAGCTGTCCTCACCTTGTGCAGAGTTACACACGAACAACGTGGTGAGGTCCAGGTCAAGAGTTCATGGCAATGAGCTGTGGCCTGCCCGGCTGCAGGGTGGAGCTCCCTCTCCACCTGGGCTGTTTGCAGCCTTCCTGCAAGATTTATTCAGGCTCAGGAAAGAAAAAAACACTCCCCCAAAGGCTCTCAGTGCCTCCCACAACACAAAAACCGAGGTGAACGGGAACTATGTATGAGCCAAAGAGAGGGAGAAATCTCGACAGACGGCTTCCCCCAGCAGTCCTGCAGCTGGTGAAGCTTTAATCTCTGGCAAACAGCAGGCAAACACGGAGGAGTTGCAGTTTTTCTCAGTGGACAACTGCTAAAGAGAAATAGGGAAAGAATAATATCTTCATAGGAATCTTTTCCGATAATTTACGTGAAAGTTTCACTCGAGGAGATGTATGAAAGTACACATTGTCTTTTTGAAATTATTTTTTAGCTAAAATGATGTAAATTTTTGGTCAGAATTAAAAGAAAAAGAGCTTTTCTTTTGTTGTGTTTATAAAGAAACTTGTATTTTAACAGGCTGCAGCATGTTAAATTATTAGCTTAGGAGGATGATGTCTAAACAAAACTCAGAAGAAATCAAAAATATGGGGCTGAAGTATTTTTTTCTTTGTCATTCCTGCGCAGACTCACTAGCTGAGTACATAAAAAGACATCACAGCACATGCATTTAAAGCACAGTTCCTGTCTTAAAACCAGCCCAAATGAGAGAAAATACAGTGCAAACCTCTGCTGCTCTCCAGTGGAACTGAATGCAATCACCACACGTAAGAGTTCCATCACTTCTCAAGCTTTTGCACTTTTTAAAACACTCATTTCTTTGTTCCTGGGCTGCTGCCGGGCCACTGGACTCCTCAGCTCCCTGTACAGGGAATATTACCTAATGAAAAACAATGATTTCCCCACATTTGAATTGTTTGATAGAAATTGTGCCAGAGGAGGTTTAGGTTGGATATTAGGAAATGTTTGTTCGCTGAGTGTGGTCACTGGCACAGGCTGCCAGGGGCAGTGGTGGACTCACCATCCCAGCAGGGATCTGAAAGACGTGCAGATGTGGCACGTGGGGACATGGCTTAGAGGTGGCCTTGGCAGTGCTGGGTTAATGGTTGGAGCTGATGACCTTTGGGACCTTTTCCAACCTAAACAATTCTATGGTGCTATGAAAAATGAGGGACGTGAAGCGACTCTGAAACTTTTCAGTCTCAGTACTTTGAAATTTAACCTGAATGTCTAGAACAGCTCACACTGTTCCTCAACAGAATACATGATCCAGAATGGAATTCACTGTTCCAAATCCTAGGAAAATCAATCTCTCTTAGCAAGTGCAAGATGCCTTCTAAGCTCTATTATTGCTAAAAAACCCCAGGATTTCTGATATTGATTTATCTGGAGACCTTGTTAGAACTAAAAGTCATTTTTGCAGTCAGAGACCAGCCAATACAGCACTCCAAGCATGGTCTGGGAGCTGCGGAGTCCCAAAATGTGGGACCTAAAATCCTATCTCTGTCAGTCATCCCCCGGTGAATCACTTGATCTATTTATGCCTCCGTGGGTGCGATAAACAAATAACGCCGCTGCCATGGGAGCCGCCAGACGGCACTGCCTGGCATCTCCCACCCGAACTGGGAACTCTGCCCACGGGCAGGGGTGTTCTCTCCGGTGATCTGGAGCATTCCTGTACCAGGAATATCAGGAATAGCGTGGCCAGCAGGACCAGGGCAGTGATTGTCCCCCCTGTACTCGGCACTGGTGAGGCCACGCCTCGAGTGCTGCGTTCAGCTTTGGGCCTCTCGCTTTCAAAGGACACTGAGGTGCTGGAGTGTGCCCAGAGGACAACATGGCTCGTGAAGGCACTAGAAAACACGTCTGATGAGGAGTGGCTGAGGGAGCTGGGGGTGTTTAGTTTTGAGAAGAGGAGGCTCAGGAGGGCCCTCATCCCGCTCCACAACCACCTGGAAGGCTGTAGTGAGGTGGGAGCTGGTTTCTTCCGCTGTGAGAGGACAAGGGGAAACGGCCTTAAGCTGAGACAGGGGAGGTTCAGATCAGACACCAGAAAAAAACAATCTCACTGTTTGTGTGGTCAGACATAGGAATGGGCTGCCCAGGGAAGTGGTGGAGTCACCACGGGAGGCATTTAACAGGAGCTGGGTGATGAGGTTTGGTGGTCTGGGGGTCACAGTGGCAGTGCTGGGCTGATGGTCAGACTAGATGATCTTAAAGATCTTTTCCAACCTTGACAGTCCTGTGACCCCCCCGACGTGTCCCCGGCAGGACAGGACAGGACAGAACAGGATAGGATAGGACGGCCCAACCTTGCTCGGCTCAGATTCTCCCATCTCCCAACACCGGCGG